ATTTAGAATCATGATTCATAGTTGTGATTCACATAGAAGTCAATCCATCCTCTGCCTTTTCAACTAACTGTATCACCGTACTCGCTGACTTTCAAATTCCAGCCCCAGAATATATTTGATGTACAGGTGAAGTAAGCTTGGCTGTAATCATGCTGTAGAAGCTTGTCTCATCCATGTTTTATTTCTCTCTACTTTGTGAATATGTATTAATAGCTACAGTATCAGTGATTCTCCCAAAGAATCCACAGAAAACAGAATGAAAGCTTAAAGAAAGGATGCCTTGGTTCCTCTGCCTATAAAATAATGCTGTTTGTGACAAGGCTCTCCGTCTGGAGGGGGGATTCTGCGTAGAACTCTTTGTTAAATGTATTCATAGGCCTCTAAGGAAGATAATCGGGGAAAATACATGAGGTTCTTAATAACTGTGTCCTAGTCTAGATAAATCACTAATTCACTACATTATAACTATTGCCAAGGTCTTCACAAAATATTCTTTGGAGCAGTTGGATACAAATAAAAAGAAATTTGCTTTTTCTTAATCCATTAGCTACTGGTAAGAATTTTGAATATTTAGACCATAAGTGTCATTAGAACAAAATTTTAAATGTCTTATGTTTATATTTAAAGACTTTTTTTTTTTACAAAACAGTATATGTACAACTATTGTAGACCATTTAGAAATTCAGGAAAATATAAAGCAGTAGAAATTATTCATATTTCCATGGACCCAATTTATATCATTGGCTCCTGCCCATTGATACCATATTAGCCATTATCACTGGTAGGTTGAACAAACTTCATGGAATGTACCCAGGACAATGTTACTTAGTTCCCCATGTCTAGAGAGGAACATTCTTTCTTAAACACTTAGAGAAAAACATCTGATTATCCAATATAATAAAAGGGTAATATGCAAAATGACCAAACGGTGAAAATAACTGGTCGCTCTGATGCCCGCTAAGCACCAGGAGGCAGATGCTCAACTCAGGAGCTTCCCCATGGTGATCAGTGCACTGACACAGGGGGAGTGCCATGCAACCAGAGGCCAGAAGCCTGGAAAGCACAGTAGCGGTGGTAGGAGCCTCTCCTCAGAAGGCAGCACTAAGGAACAGCAAACTGAGCAGGAAGGAGTAGTGAGCATGTGGGCAGTAATGAGCAAAAGCTCCCAGGCTGCCCTTGAGGGGTCCCAGACTGCGAGAGGGCACAGACTGGGCTGAGGAACCCTCCCCAAGTGTGCAAATTCTTGTGCACTGGGCCACTACTCTACACTAATAAAAATGAAACATGCAAATTAATTGTACTTCCGCCACACCCAGAAGCCATGCCCACCAGCCAATCAGGAGCAAATATGCAAATTAACCCAACCAAGATGGCTGTGGCCATAAAGCAAGCAGGAGGCTCAGATTTCCCCAGCAAAGGAGGAAGCCATGCTTCCCAACCGCCCTGGCTGGCCCTGGCCTCTGCTCAAGGCTACAAAGTTTCAATTATAGAAGATAAATACCAGATCCCAAGGCTTTTGCTTGGGATGCAGGGGAGCATGACTGACCTGCAAATCACTGTAGGCCCCTCACCCAAGCTTCCCCACACCCAAGGGAACCCCCACCCTGGTCTGGGATGCCCTTCAGGGCAAACCAGCTGGACATCACCCGTGCACCAGGCCTCTATCCTATCTAATAAAATAGTAATATGCAAATTTACTGTCACTCCAACACACAAGATGGTTGTACCCTGTGGTCAAAGAAGTCTGCCCCCATGTAGACACAAGATGACCACCACAAAACGGCCAACAGGTGAGGGCAGTTGGGAGGGACCAGGCCTGCAAGAGAGGGCATTAGGGGTAACCAGGTGAGCAAAAGAGGGAAGTTGGGGGTGACCTGGCCTGCAGGGAAGGGAAGTTGGGGGTGACTAGGCCTGCAGAGAAGGGCAGTTGGGGGTGACCAGGCCTGCAGGAGAGGGAAGTTAGGGGCAATCAGGCTGGCAGGGGAGCAGTTAGGAATCAATCATGCTGGCAGGGAAGTGGTTAGGGGGTGGTCAGATTTGCAGGCAGAAGGGGTTAGGGGCAATCAGGAATGTAGGCATGCAAGCAGTTGGGAGCCAGAAGTCCTGGATTGTGAGAGGGAAACAAATGTATAGAGTGCCTGGGAAGGCACATGGACATTCTCTAATTACTGTCAGCTAAACCCAAGGTGACAGGCAAATCTGAGTCTTGGTTATACATCTTACCAAAAAGACAGAGGTGTTCTCTACAAGGACTCTTATCTTTGCCAGAGTGTAGGGAAGTGGATATTGATATGTAAATCCAGTCAAGGACCAGGAATGCTGGGGCCTACTCAAGAATGCAAATAATTTCCTTTGTCTTGACTTTTGGTGAAACTTCCTGTTTTTGAGGGTATAAAATAAACAGGCTACATTGGCTTTGGGTCACTGTCTCTACTTCAGAAGAAGGCAGCAGTTCATTCAGTCCCAGCTTTTTCCTTCCATTTTGTGTCTTGTCTCTTTCTTTCATATTTCTCAATCCCCAGCCCCTCTACTCGAAGAACTGGATCATCTCTCTTTCTGGACATGGAAAAGAGAGACCCTGCCATAAACAAACATGCGTTTTCTGCTCTCAGCTCTGGCTCGCAGACCAACCCCAACACATACACTGAGAGGGCAGGGCAGGGTGAGGATAAACTCCGGACTCCACTGTGGGGCAGGGCAGAGTTATCCTCCATTTTGTGTAACTGGACCCTAGCCCTCACCCAACCAATCAGGGTCAGCCAAAGCAGTGACATCACCACTGGTGTAAAACCCTGGGCTTGGCGAAATTCTGCCTCTTTTCCACCATGCTGTTGGTGTGAGTGGGACAGAGCCCATGCTACCATGAAAGAGGCTCTCTTGTTAGTTGCATTGGACTTAGCTTCCTGCTGGTCTTGGGGATCACAGAATCTTACGGAAATCCCGGTACAACACACCATTTGCTATATGCTAAGCAAATGTATATCTTACCTTTAGGATTCTCAGGTGAGTCAGACACCACTCTACTGTGCCTCTCATGCTGCAGAGTATATTCATTAAACCCTCCACGTGGTTCCACTGAAGCCTCAAGTCACTAGGTTTGCAGTGGAACTTATATTTCTCCAAAATTACTATTCAAAAAAATTATGTACCCCAAACGTTTAAGCCTTTCCTACTACATATAAAAGTAAGGGGTTTAATAATTATCTAACATGTTTTCAACTGTTTTTTTTTTTTGTTTGTTTGTTTTTTTGAAATACCGATGTAGGGTAGCCCATTTTGAAAGATTTATTATTTTATATATTAAAATCTCAGTTAAAAACTCCAATTTAACATCTTCCTTTCCTTCCTTCCTTCTTTTTTTAATCTATCTATCTAGCTACTTATCTATCTATCTATCATTTATCTATCTATCTATCATCATTTATCTATATATCATCTATCTACTTACCTGTCTAACTACACCATACACACACCTATACATACACATTAAAGACTCAGGACATAAAATGACACTGAGTGGATGTAAATCTTGGTTGACTCATGTAAGTAGCTCTTCACCTTTAAACTAGTCACTCATTCTTTTTCTGCCTTTGTTACCACTCTACCTCAAAAACAGAGTTACTGTGAAGATTAATGTGATAACACATAAAAGGCCCATAGAATAATATGCAGCTCGTATCACCAACAATATTACACTAACAATAAGAACATAATCATTATTATAAATGTCATCTTTATAACTTGTTTGCTCGATTTATGAGAATTTCCACATCATTATTCTTCTTTGCATTGTAATTATTGTACAGTATTTAGCTGTACAAATGTAACATAAATTTCAATACTTATCTGGACACATATATTATTTCTAATATTCTGTCACATCACTGGTCATCATTGTGTACATCAACTCTGTTTTATTCTCCTTTAGGTTATATTGATTGAACTGGAATTACTGGATCAAAATGCAATTATTTTAAAGCATTTAGTATATGTTGACAAATTATTCTGCAAAAATTTATAGCACTTTACACTATGTTTTCATGACCATCTTAAAATTCTGGACAGTTATATACTATCACACACTGATTTAGGTGTAAGGGCATCCTTGGAAGATGATGAAAAACAGGCACAGTATGTTCTCTTGTCTCCTTACAAAGTATGCCAACAGATTTCTGAAACTTTCTCAGACCTGGCAATTAACACAGCTCATCTAGGGTTGGATGAGGATAAATCCAATATATCTTCAGAACCTGAGAGCTCCAGTGATAAAACTACACTGACCATTCTTCTCAATAGTAACAGAAAATTAAGTACAAATGAGCAGTACTGGCTGTCTATGATGGTGGCTCATTATGTGATGCTTAGATCAAACTGCTTTAATTATGTAAATGCATCTAGTGGATAAGTGTTAATAAACTTCTATTTAAATAAATAAATCAAGAATCTGCTTCCCTTATGCATATTACCGTTCAATTAAATTCCTGAGCACAGTCAGTAACTGTGAAGTTACACAGTTGACAAAATCAATCACTAAGGAGTATAAATCAGCCAGATACTAGTCTAACATAAAGAATACAGCATTTAGTCAGTATTGTCAGTAGATACAAAATTTCACTATGTCATAAGAAGAGGATGTCATTGTTCTCATTTTCAGTACTCCACATAGGCATTATTATGAAATGTATGGCAATTTTACCAAGTTTTCACAAACTCACTAATGTTTGGCTTACACTATCTTCTGTATAAAGTAATAAGGATAACAATCTCTTTTTTAAAAAAAATTAATTTAAAATGTTAGGTTTTAGAAAAGCCATCTTGCTATGACACTCTCTGCCTCTTTGTGCCAATCACTCTTACACACACACACACACACACACACACACACATATATACACACACACACACGAAACACACTCACTTCACAACCACAGAGGCATATAACTGCAATAAAGCAAAAGAAAATATCCATCCCACCACCAAAAAATAAACATTGGACCAACCTTATAAAGTAGTGGCAATTTTCCTAATTTCAGGAGTGCAATCTGGTTTGTTATATTTCTCATATTTTTTATCCTTTTTAAATCATCTGCATTTCCATAACTCACATCAATGATTTCAGCCTGAAAGAGAATGAAAAGAAAAACACACAAAGAAAAATAAAACCTTGTTGGAGGAATGATAGCAAATCCACTTGGTATGACAAAATCATTCCTACAATGTGAAATGGTCAAGGAGAATCAATTCATTCTCTTCTCCTGTCCCAATAACCACAGACCCGCCCTTTCTACTTCTGTCAGGTACAATGACTCTTGTGGTCACTTGAGAAGATGCTTGAGGGTCATGTTTGTTTGGTCATCTCCCTTCTCACGAAGTTACAGACCATCAAGTTTATTATATCCTAGATTTCTATTTCTGGAATTTGAATCATTTTATAAAACAATGCAATTAATTTCCTTAAGGTTCAACCACAGTCATACCACTCTCAAAACAATTCACAGGCACTGTACTGTCATCCAAATTGAGTACAAAGTCCATCATGATTCAGGTTGAGCATGTTTCCAGCTGTGAATAACAACCCCTTGAGTTGTGAAGGACAAAACCTATACTCCTGCCTGTGTCAATCTGGCATTCAAGGACTTTAGAATATGGTGGTTCCAAACTACTACTATTTCTGTCATAGTCCCCACTACCCCAGACAGTTATACTCTACAATATTTCTCATTGTTAAAAGTCCGTTGTTATTAACATAAAAATGACATGACTTTCTAGAGATCCTAATAGGTATCCTCTGACACAGTTGCCCTTTCTTACTCCTGGAAAAGTACTGCACACTGAGGTTTTTTCAAGCACATATTCCTATGAGCCAATATGATATATTTCATCTCTACTTTCTGTAATTCCCATTATAAAAACAGTTTCTATGCTTTTCACTTGAAAAATGATATTACAACACAAACTATGCTGTTTCAATCTCCAGCATATCTACATGGAAATGTTCATCAGGACTTAGTGGTGCCAAGTAGTGAAAGTAGGGAAGAAAGAAGATCCAGATCCTGCAATGCCCACCATTGTTTATTGGAACTCATGTAATTTAACCAGCTTTTGAAAAGGGCTTCCATAGAAGTCTCACTTCAGAAATTAATTCTGTCTTTAGAAGGACATATGGATACCACCAAGAGACTGGTAAGTATGTTAGAATAAATATTTCTAGCATAAAGTGTTTCCTTAGCAATTAATTCATATTCATTTGTAAGAACTTTACTAAATACATTAAAACTCATTTCAAATGTTACCTTCCTGATGAATTGTATTTCTGTGATGCTCAATTCTAATTTGAATCCACGTTTCTCTTAACAACCCCCCAGGACCCATAAACTTAGCTATGTTTTATTTTCTAGTACAGTGAAATTTTCTTAGTGATGGTTCCATCATGTACCCATTCTCACCCAGGCACCCTGCATACACTATTGACTTACCTGTTTTAACTTAAAATGATTGCACATTATAACATGTCTCTGAAAAGTAAAGCTGTACTTTCAAATAGATTTTCCAAGAAAAACTGTTAAACAAACTTGTCAGAATATTTTTATTATAATTTTGTTCCAATAAAAATGTGATTAAATCAGTGTTTTAAAAATACCACTTTTGAGTTTGCTGATGCCATTATGATATGCATAACTGTTGATTTAGTAATTTAAGGACTTGATTAAATAAATGATCACATAATATTAATACTCACATTGAAAAATGAGATAATTCATAGTTTCCATTTCAAATTTCTAAGCTACCTATTAATTATTTGTGATTCACTGAGAGCATCTTAAAACATGGCTATTACTCAATATATTTTTATTATTATTGATTTTTTACAGAGAGGAAGGGAAAATAATAGAGAGCTAGAAACATCAATGAGAGAGAAACATCGATCAGCTGCCTCCTGCACACCCACTACTGGGGATGTGCCAGCAACCAATGCACATGCCCTTGACTGGAATCAAACCTAGGACCTTTCGGTCCACAGACCAATGCTCTATTCACAGAGCCAAACCAGTTTCGGCAAAGAACATATTTTTCTTATTTAAGAGAGTTTGAGGGGAAACCATACTGGTCTGAGAAGGATTCATTGGTAGATCACAAAAAGTCTATAACTTTTTGTGTACATACCAGAAAGGTATGGCAACTACAAAGATACAAATTCAGTAAAATATATTTAATTATTGGAAAATATCAATAACATGCATCAACAATGGCAGTTTCAGTTAAATAATTTTTCAGCTCACCTTCTACAAATAGCACATGTCAACAGATTAAAGCATTTTATAAGTACTGCAAGCTAACCAATTGTGCCACTGGAGCCCCAGCTGCATTAAAGCATTTTAATATAATAGGGTTGTTATTTTTCACAAAAAATATTCCTCACTATGAGCATTAATATATTAGTTGATTTTGGCTTATGCACTTTGAGGCTATTCATTAAAAATCAGTAATTACAGAAGTCTCAATGTTCTGAAGCTTTGACAGGTGATAATAAAAATGTATTTATTGCTTTCAAAGGAACCAGGTCCTTTCTAAATGTCTTTCCTATTTACCTTCAAGCAAGCTGAAAATCACAGCTGCAAGAAAGCACATTGAATTTTTCTTAGGCACAAATCAATATACAATGATATGATAAAATGTCAAGCCATTTCTTTCCACACATTCAAGTTGCAGCAATGCACCTCTTCTTACTGTATGTATTCTGTCTCAACTGGTTGGACTACGATGATTAATTTACATGCAAATATTAAGAATGAGGTCACATTCAACTAGTCTCTTTGGGGAATATCAAATGAGCAGGAACCTAATTACCTGTTTAACTATTTAGTCCATGAGCACTCATTGTTCTATTGTGGACTTCATTGGCACATAGTGAGAGAGTACTGAGAGATACAGAGTAAAATGGAACTAGTTCTGTTTTGTTTTAAATGTGTGTGTGCTTTTTTTTTTTTTTTAACCAAAGAAAAATATGAAAAACTCCCTACATTAAATGTGTTTAAATAGTATGTTAAATTTCAAACTGAGGATAAAACAATAGCAACAATTCAGACAGAAAAGCAAATATTTTATATTTGCCCAAAAAAAGTATTGAAATGACAACAGAGAGGAAAATTAGCACACTTTAGAAACAAACATTAAACATTAAAATACAATTATTTTTTAGCTATGGTAAAACATATGATTAGGAGGAATCATAAACCAGACAATTAAACATGACTAAAAATAAAAATATTAAAAAGTGATTCTACTATGTCAGTGGTTCTGTTACCATTGTAACTGGCTAGTCGATGCTCTATCCACTGAGCCAAACTGGTTAGGGCCTGACTAGTTAATATTAAATTGAGAAGAGAGCAAAGAGGAAGCCAGACATTATAAGCATAGTCCTCTGGGCAGCTTCACCAGGAAACTGCAATTTCCCACTCCCCACAGAGAAGCACAGACCCATTCCCTGCAGATGACTGGGGTAAGGGGAAAGATGGACACATATACAGTAAAGTTGGGTGATGTAGTCTAGTCCGGGGAACAAAGATAATTGGCGAGGATGTGGAGCCACTGCAAGCACAGGAAACCCAGGATTCATTGGTTAAGCTCCCAGTTAATCTTCCCAGACAAAGGAGTTCTCTCTCTCTCTTGTTCCTCTTGTGCCCCTGTTTCTCTCTTGCACCTTGTCTCACGCTAGCCTGCCAAGTGGCCCTAGAGCTGCATGGTCCTTGACTATGCAGATGCTACGTGCAATGGGCTGCTGCTGGGGATACAGCTCATCTGGCCAGACACTGGCCTGGACTAGACTTCAATATAGAGCAGAAACTCTTGGGAGTGGTTTTAATCCTAGCTCTGCTGAAGACAAAAATACCCTTAATATTATATCATCAATAAAAGTTTCCATAATACTTAATCCTCCTGGAGGCATGGGGGTCTTAGGAAATTCTTATTCCTGTGGCATCCCAAGAACCCCACTTCTTCCAGGAACAGGTGGGGACACAGGGAATACCACACCTGTAACAGTTCTATATAAAAATGGAGGAGTATCCCACGCAGAAGCTAAAAGACAGTAATGAATAAATTATCTCCTGTAATCAGCTAGGAACAATAATAGAAAATAACCAGGTCAGAGAAGTGTCTTTGGGGACATCTACCTGCGGGTGGCCTGGGCTCCACACTGAGGAATAATCCAGTGCCATGTTTCTCTTCCACCTTGAAGTAGCAAAATTTATTTATGCTTAGGAAATGATACATGCTTTGAAAATTTTCAGACTTGACATTTTCAACCAAATCAATCACTCTGAATCCTTCTAGTTCCTCTCTAAGAGAATTTCTGAATGTACAGAATGTTTGAAAAGCCTGCTTTGACTAAAACAGTAATTTTCTCCTCAAAATTAGAAATGGTAAACTCAAGCAGTTCTCCTACTGACAAAATACATTATCAGAAGTACCATTCATCTCAATATAAGTTTTACTTTAGAAATGTACTACCATCTTATATAATTTAGCTTTTGAATCATCTTTAAATTAAAGTGCTTATGCTTATTAAAATGTGAAAATTCAAAATGATCTTGATGTTTACCTTTATCCTTTCTAAATAGCATTGAGTATATTATTACTTATGAAGAGTTCAATATTCATAGATAGTTAGAATTTTATTAGTACTTCATTTTAGAGTACATGCAAGGGCTGTTCATCATGGGCATTATTAGGAAAACCACAATACATTGAATCTTAAAAAAAATCATTGCTGCTTCCTTCCCTGGCCCCATTGCAGACATCACTAATCAATCATAGTTCCTCTATGAATCAAACTGCTTCTCTAAACATTATTCTAACTAATCAAGGTCATTTGAATAGAGATTGGCACAAGGAGTGGACTATATAAAATATTTAATAGTTTAATATTAAATAATTATCCATTTGAATAACTAATATTTAAACTAATATTTAATTATTTAATAACTTAAGCAGCACAAGTACTAGCAGTTAAAATGAACTTCTAGGCAATAAGAAAGGACATCAACTAGTATGGGAAACTAGTATATGACAACCAAATTCAGCAATAAAGATAAAAAACACAATACATTTTGCTATGTTT